GCGTCTCCCCTTGCCCAGAGGAACCGCCGTGTCAGAGCCCAGCACAGGTAACGGCAGGCAGAGGCGCATTTCGAAGCAAGGCAGGGACAGACGGGTTTGTGGTTGATGGCGGGGGGGGAAAGGGGGTTGGGGCACTGGAAAGCGACGTGGCGCTGGGAGTATCGGCACAGGGATGGTCTTAGGTTCTCCCTCCTTTGTCCAGCACCTGGTTTCATTTGCTCGGGATTGTCCTTCCCGCGTCACTTACCGAATGTTCATGGTGGGGAGAGACACGGACGGGGGCTTAATGCTGCTGCCGGTTCCCATGGCACCCTGAACTGCACTGCAGGGACTGAGAAGGGGAGCTCTATCGGGCAAGACAGGCTTTGCCAGGTTCTTCCAAATACCCCAACAGGAGGGAAATTTAGAAGACAGATGGCCGCTACTTCAACACTCTGGTAACTTCCAAGAAATCCGAGCGGTTCCTTGTTTCCCAACAGAGAACTAAGTCTCATTGCAGCCCGTTTTGTGAATTTATGCTCATGTGGGGACGTAACTGATCTCAGAAAAGTGCTTACAGAACAGAGTATCGTGGTTTAAAGTTTGCACTTGCTTGAGCTGACAGCAACCGACTCACCAGCTCCTGAAGACAGTATAAATATGTGTAATATAAAGGTGAATAAATATTCCTTCCTCATTTAAAGCTTCCACACCACAGCTTGGCACCACCTGATCAGTGTTCTGTAAGCGCTGCCACGGCACCACTGATCAGGAGTCGCCCTGACAGAGACTGTGTCTCTGTGCACCCTTTGAAGGCCAAGATCTAAAGGACTCCTGCTGCAGCGTCCTCAGGTACTGCTGGGACAGCTGCACAGAGGGTGGCGTTAGAGCTGCTGTGAGCGAGTGCGAGGCACCAAGGGAAAAGGGAAGCTGCGCCCACCTCCGCTTTCATCCTTCGGGTGGTTACTCCGAGGTACGGGTTGATTTTAAATTAAAACTCACCTTTGATGGCAGTGGCAAATGCCGAATCCAGTCCCCGAGAACAAACCCCACCCGGTCTAGTCCTTCTTCTTCTGGTCAGATGCAAGTAATTATTGAGTCAAACATTTAGCTAGAAAATAGATTACACAGTGGGCTGAAAATAATTTAGGATAAGCTGTGTAGCTGATGCTGTAAGCACAGCCAAAGCTGCCTCTTCCTGCCAGAAGTCTCTCCTCCAGGCAAACAGGAGTTAGTACGTGTGCCACTGCCAGGCTGCGCTATCGGGCCTATCGGAGTTACCACCACTGACACAGCACAGGCTTCGGACAGTCCGAGCTGAGTCCCGTTGGAATAATCTCTAGGTGGTGAACCGCACAGTAACCCCCACATGTGACAGCAGCCAAGGCACAACTTGGACAATGGAGACCAAGGAGCCCATCGTACCACGTAAAGCTGCCCGTGCTCTGCTGACACCGGTGTTTCAGCTTGACAAAACAACCTCCTGTTAGGTGACCAAAGCCATTTCCTGAATTTAAGTCTTCAGGGCCCCAAAAGTCCCTAGAATATTTCCCTTCTTTACACCCTGTTTAACACACTTCCCACACCCCCTCCTGTCAATAAACCACAACCAGATTCCTTCTCAGGAGCTCGTTTCTTTGATTATTTTTTTTTCTCCTTGTATGTGATGTACAGCAATAAAGGTTGTCACTTGAGGGCCACGCTCTCCAAGACTCGTCTGTACAGCGAGGGTTTTGGGTTGCACACACCGCCTGCTGTTTGCGATGCTTGCGCCACCCAAGTCCATCGACCACCGCGTTTGCACAAGCAGGTCTGTCGCAGAGACACCACCCGTACGGCAGGGGATCGATCCCTTCCGCTCCCGCCAGAGCCACAGCAACGCCCCGTTCCACACCAGAAGCTGCCGGCAGGCGCATGGGTGCGCGCGGTGCAGACGGTAACGACAGGCTGCACTTGGTGCCGGCGCTTCACGGACACGACGGCACTAAAGAGGAGCAGAGGGGATGACGGGGGAGAGTGTTGCTTGGCGGCTTCTGCGTGTGCCAGCGGAGAGTGTCTGTGACAACGTCCTTTGTTGGCAGCGTGTACGTGGAGCACCTGTGGAAATAACGTCTGCACGAGCAGCTCGGTTACGCCTCTGTACCAAACCTTTACACACCCTTAATTACACACTACTCTGCCTATTCCCTTGTGTCGGTGCGTTATTTTTACGAGTGCCGTGTTACACACTGGTTTCATCGGTATTTGTGTGCGGGGACACCCAGCAAATCTAGATGGGACTTGGTGGTCTTACCCCCACGGGATGGGGACTGGTGTGTCTCAGCCAAAGGACACGAGGGACTACATTAACCAAACCCTATGGCTGTGCCTGCAATTAGGGACAGGAGTTAATCCTTACCCACCAAACAAACATTCATGGGAGGCTCCAAGCGGTGTTTCACATTCAGTTTAATTAGAATGGGACTACCGATTCATTTGTACTCGGGACATAATTTAGTGACAGTACTGACGGTACAAGCGGCGAACGACAGTGTAAAAGGTAAGCTGGCCTAGGTGTGCAGATGACTTTTGGCAACAGTCCTCCCGCTTCGTTAAAAACCGCTGCAGCTACCGTGGCTCCTACTTGGTTTAGTAGACGTGAACCATGCCGTACAGGAAAGTCCAGAACAGGACGTACGTGAAGAGCCCTCCTATAAGCCCCCCCGTGAACAGCGGCCGTCGGGATTTAAAGTACTTATTCCATCGCCGTCCAGCTTTTAACACCAAGAGCACGGAGAGGAGGACGGAAGCCA